GCATAGAGGTTGACATTATGACCGGTCCTGAGCTGTCACTGAAACTCTGATTTCCATTTTCAACACCTGGGCCAAGTCTAAAAACACTTGCCTATCTGTTTTTTTGGCGTTACGCTGTAAAAGCAGAGCAGGAGGACGACCACCACAGCCCTGATTCGTGGAACTACGGTTTGTTCTAAACCTCCTGATGACTGCTTCAACTGTGTTGCAGATCTTTCTGTCTCGTTTCACAATCGGATTTATAAAATCCTCTGGCAATTGTTGCCCACGTGGAGCCATAATGCAGACATGAAGGTAGACACAGACTGTGGGTTCAAAACTGAGAAGAAATGCATCAATCAATTCTGTTTCAATGATCACAGATTTTCTTATTTGGATGTTAACAGATGTATCTCGTTTTGTTGTTTCTACTTTGGGGCTTGTATTTTTTAAAATAGTCTTTGAGTGCTCATAGGAAGAAATATTCAACTTAGAAATAAAGCAATCATTAAGAGGTGATATAATTTAGAAATATGACATTTAGATGATGTAGTCCTCTTCTGTTGTATAGAGTATATAGAGATTAAAGGACTGAGACGTGATTGAAAGCAGACCTTCAGAGTGCCATTCATCTGGAAGACGAAGAGCAGCCGTGGAGGGCAGGGCCGGCAGTTCAGCTTCCACTCTTTGGACACCGGGCAGTCCTTGATGGCAGCCCGGATCAGAGGCAGGGCCTTCTGCCGGAGGGCGTCAAGGGCTCGGAAGAGCCGGTCGTAGGTCACATCGAAGGTGTGGTTGGGGTGTACAAGCAGTAGGACGTGGCACACCGAGAACATGTAGAGCAGGTGAAGGCAGTGCTGCCGGTCCAGGCCCTTCCAGAAGTCGTGGGCGTCGGAGTGGCTGGTGGCGGCGCTCAGAGACTGGCAGGCCCGCAGCAGCTGCCGACTGTCGCACACGGAGGAGAGCAGCAGGTACAGCACCCGGTTCTCCTGGTTGTAGAAGGCCTGGATGTTGCTGTCCGCGGAGCCGCCGTCCTCCGGTCCGCCGAACAGCGAGAAGATGTGTTTGTCGGCCAGCGTGTTGACCAGAGAGTCCTTCAACGGTCCGGGCTGCATGTTGCTTTTGCCGAAAATACCGACGACGCACAGGCCGTCGTCCCGGTAAGCAGCGTCCTCCAGGAGGTCCGTCTGGAGCAGAGCCGCTACGCTCACAGGGAGAGCCATGTTCGCTTCCTTCATGGTGGAGTAGCAGGGGAATATAAACAACGACGCACTCACTTCCGGCTCCGTTTCCTGTTCGTCGCACTAAAGTGTCCGAGTACATGCAACTTCCGCTTTGAGGTTCCTTTATTGTGTTTGTCTCAAAAATAAAAGCGGTTTAATTGTCAAGTAGGTTTTCACACAGGCAAAGTCTGACGTGGTGTTTTGCTGCATAACATTAAACCCTGAAAAACAGACTTCACTACTTCACTACATTAAAAAGTCCTGCACCTCTGTGGAAACAGCACCACCATGGCAAACAGAAAAGAAACTATCCTTTGTGCGGCATTACAAAGGTGTAATGCCATTATTCTAAAAATATGAAACCTGAATTTCTTTTGTTGTTCTGCAAACAAACAAACAAACAAACTAACTAACTAACTAACTAACTAACTAACTAACTAACTAACTAACTAACCCGCAACTCAACATGTACAACAATTTTTCCAATGTCCCACAAGTCTTATAAAAATAAATATAAATATTAGTCGGAAAATGGGGGTCTCTACATGCTCTAAATATTTCTACTATTCACATTTTTACCACCTAAACAAACTGTATTTTTTTACACTGCTTACTACATCAAGTCAAGAAAGATATTTCACCAAGCTGAAAGTACATTATCTTACAATTACTTGCTGACAATTTGCTTTTCTGTAAAAGCAAAACAAAAACAAACAAAGAACAAAACGCAGCCTACTGTTCAGCCACAAAATTGAGAGAACTGCTTCAAATGGTTTCACCCAGTTATAAGTAGTTTCCTTGTCTTTCCTGCGCTGCATTTATTTGCTTTTTATTTAAAATTAAATTTTATTCCACAATCTGTAAATGGGATGATACAGGGTTACAGATTTGTGTTTCCTGGTTTAAACACTGACATCCTGTTTATCTGCTCTCACCTCCCTGGCGATTTCCTCCTCCTTGTAGAAATGGAAAAATGACAAGATGATTAACAATACTTCAGATAGATAGATAGATAGATAGATAAATAGATAGATAGATAGATAGATAAATGGTAATATAAACAATCAGAATGTGAACCTAATTGTAGGCACTAATATACCTGTGAGGTGTGAATTAAGAACAAGCCACGGCTGCTTACATTCAGACACATTTGCCCTCAGTCCAGTGGGATGGATTTCAATGTTTTGAAATGAGAGAAGTGGAGCTGCCAGTGCTTATAAAAATTTGCAGTTGAGCCACACACAGCAAATTTGATCTTCTCCAATTTCAGAAATGACATCAAATCCTACAGCCAAGATGTCTGTATGGGGGTGAGCTACTTTTCCAAAAAAATGAGAATTCTATTAGAGGCTATTAAGGAAGTAGAGGGGATTATGTTGGTTTGTTTAAAAGTCATTTTAACCTCCACCTCAGGGACACCAAAGATTGCAGTCTGAGGCGATGGATGCAGAGTCAGACCTAGTATTACCAACACAAGATTTAAAAAAAAAAAAAAAAATAACAAAAGCCCTTCAGTACTCCACCAAGCTCAAGTAAGTCGAGAACATGTGTATTTCTTTTCCTTTGTGGCAGTTTCCATCATAATCTGCAAGTTAACCTGCTCTTGACCCGCAAGTACACGTTATATGACATCAACTCATCCATTTGATCTTGACCTTTCCTCCTGGATAAAGGCAGCTTTTAGAAAACTGTCTCTTCTGCAGTTTTGAAAACTTCTGAAAACTGTAGCCAGTCAAAATGTGGGACATTGTCTCAATATTTGGGACAAAGGATAAAAATGCAATGCAGTCCTGCATAAAGTGGGACACCTGATCACTGTAGGTGGTGATGGGTTGGAAGCAGACACTCTAGAAAATCAAACTACTTATTTGAAATGGTTTAGATAAAACTATTCCTGGAAATCAGGGGAGAGTCTCCTCTGAGAACTTCACTGAGCCCACATTTGTCAAAAATATGCTTACAGGAGTGTCATTACGCTGTGAATGTGGGGACTCTTGGCAATAAAAGTGCCTTCTAGACAAACATATCACTAATGAATAGGAGTGTCATAAAATCATTCATTTTTTAAAAACAAAAACAAAAACAAAACAACCCCCCCAAAAAACAAAAACTTTTTTAAATTATTAAAACAATAAGTATTTTTACATACTTTTTCTTCACATAAAAATACGATTACAAAAATAGACTGAATTTACATGCCTTATGCAAAAAAAAAAACTATTTGAATTCACAAATATTTCCTCCTAATTTAATACACAAAACTAGTTTATTCAAACCTAAAAGTGTGAATATGTTTCTACATTTAGAGGAAGTTAACAGAAGAGATCAATCTGTCTATATTATAGATATTTATTTTGTTTTAACACATGTAAGTATTGTTCATCAAACATTAAAAGCCAAAAATACACATGATTTTGTGCAAAATTAAGACAATTAAGGACTATATTTACACAACTGTACAGTTGAAATCAGAAGTTTACATACACGGTATAAAAGGACATATAATCTTTTTTTTCTGACTGTCTGACATTAAATGTGACTAAACATTTCCTGTTTTAGGTCAGTTAGGATTACCAAAATTATTTCTATTTTCCAAATGCCAGAATAATGAGAGAGAGATTTTTTTTAGAGAATTTTTTACTACTTTTTTATACAGTGTACTGTATGTAAACTTCTGGTTTCAAATGTATATCTTGAATAATACCCGCAATATGCTCAAATGATCAGTATTACAGAGATACAAAGATTAAGGTGTATTTTAACTTTAAAATCTACCATCAACCTTTTCAGCTACACCAACAGAGACCGTTAGAGGAGAATCAGGGGAGAGAAGAGAAACACTGGAGGGGAGGGTAAAATAGCACCATTACACCCCCCTGTGGAAAAGCATGAATCTCAGGCAGACCACTGGAACTAAAACCACAAGCCTCAGAATGTATCAATAACAACAGTGATTCATAGTCTGAGAAGGACGTGCTCACTGCCAGAGACTGTACCTCTTTGACCTGTCTGGCTTATCTTTTTTTTAAAATTTACATATAAGGTCAAATGTTAAATCAGAATGATGCACTACAAGGGGCTAAGCTGCTCGATCACCTTTTAATGGACTGGATAAACTCTGTAACGACTGGAGGATTATTATTGGGAATATACTCCAAACTATTGTCTGGGAAACCAGAGGCCGGACAGACAGATGGAGACATTTAAGGACAGTGATGTATTTTTGGACAATGTGAGAGAAAATACCTAGAAAAAGCTTTTTTTAAAATCTAAAATTCTGCCGCAGTTCAAACTGTAACATGAGCCAGCTTAGTTCACTCCTGAATGCATTGATACAGGGCTGCTGCAGCAGAAAGATGGAGAAAAAACAAACCAACAGATGACAAGACCCTGTCTCCAAACCTGTAATGTCCACAGACCCTCAAGGACGAAAGTATTTCCTTGGGGTGTCCTTTCTGTACTTCCTCCCCCTTTCAGTGGGTTTGAGAAAAAGTAGACTTCAGGTCATTGTTTTGTTTGTTTTAATGTCAACCTTTTCCGGATTATGTACTGAACAAAAACATAAACTCAGCATGTAATATTTTATTCAATTAAATCCATTCTTTTGAATGAAAGAAATAAATATTTGTTCTTCCAACATATGAAATCTCTACAACAGAATGAGTGTCATAAAACAACAAAGTATGACATTAGAAATGATAATGAGTAGCTCAAAAGTGGGTCATAGACCAGAAACCATAAGTCAGTAACAAATCACACATCTGCAACCAGTAGAGTTAAAGAGGTTGTTGATGCTGCTTGTGGAATATTGTCCCACTTTTCCTGAAGGACTCAGTGAAGCTGGTAGACATTTTGGAGGACATAATTCTGTTGTATCTGTTGTCAGACATCTAGAGCATCTGAAAGGATTCCTTTAAACAATAGTTGTGAACATTCAATTGCCTGACTACAGCTGTAGCTTAGAGTACAGTATCCTGCGTGCCAACAGCTCATTTTTCTCTTGTCATCTGTGGCCGTGTGTCATTTGAATAAAGCTGCAATTTAAGGTGCCCTTTTACAGTCACTGGTCAAAGGAGTGTCTGGTCATATTATCAGATCATTGTCTGGCTAGGCAGTGGATTAACCCTCCAGACTCCAAAACCTGCCAGCAGGTGTGAAAAACAAACAAAAATCCACAAAATGACACCATTTATCAGAGCCAGAAACTGTAAAAACAGAAGATACCATCAAATTAATCTGTGATGTATCCTTACATCATAAAAATAACTAAATCTGAACTTAAAATTGTGAAACAAAAAATAACACGAAATAGAACAAAAATAAATAAATGTGACACTTGATGCAACCCTTAAGCCATTAGTGACTCAGCTTTGACCAACAGTCATATAACAAAAAAACGGACTTTTGGGCTAAACTGCAGGCAGTGTTTACTCAGAGCAGATAGCATACAAGTCTGGAAACAAACTAAAAATGTAAGTAGTAAAATATCAACAGTATGTAGAGTCACCATTTCCTCCAGTGTTAGAAACATCTGTGTACACATTTCTTCCATTTTTGTAAAAGCAAAGAAAATGTAAACTGTATCCTCATATCCTCAACCTGCTCAACCCTTGTCTTGATGCATTATGAGGGTTATGCAAAAAATTCTGAGGCCGCACCTATAAAAAAAAACAAGAACAAAAACATAGCTAAATTCAAATTGGGCCCTAACTATCCCTGACAGAGTCGTCTCCCTGTGCACCAATGCGCTGCTCCTACTGCTCCTGCAACATTTGAAATGCTCCCTGAAAGGCCTATTATGTAAATTTCGTTTTGGGAAACCTCAAAGGGAGCTGCCCGGTTACCACTGTCGCCTCACAGCTAGAAGATTAGGTCCCGGTTAGGATGCCTTCTGTGTGATGTTTGCATGTTCTCCCTGTGCAGCGTGGGTTCTCTCTGGATTTTCCATTTCCAGATAATGGATGGATGGATGGATGGATGGATGGATGGCGGAAACCTCAAAGGCAGAGGTTCTTTGTTATCAGTTGAACAGCTAAAACATATTTTGTGCACAATTGGCCACATTTCAAGCTTTTCTAAACATTACAACAGCTTTTAAACTTGCTTTCTATGTGAGAAAAGAAGATGACATGCATTCTGTGTTCATATTTGTCTTCAGTTTTATTTGACATTTTAAAACCAGCGTTTCCACTTTTCTCTGAGTCTCTGCAGCGTGCTTTATGAGGCCAGCTTCGTGATGACATTAAATTTCACGTCAGGAGTCTGCGCTGCGTGCGCGCTCCCACGCGGCACCGGCGTCTCTCTGACGTCACCGCCCTATGATCATCCGAAATCCCTGATAACGCGGACGCGCGCTCCCGCTCGGCTCTGAATGGGGGCTCAGTCCAGCCTGTGACAGCTCGTCCAGTAGTACGAACCGCAGACGCCTCGGTCCGCTGCTCCGGTCGGCTCCGCTGTGCTCAGACACTCCGCTAGCGAACGGCGCCGCTCCTCCGGTAGTCCCCGTCCGTTCAGGTAGTATGGTCGCGCACTGACAGTCCCACTAGTTCGCTTAGTGTACTGACTCTTCTCTTCTTAGCCCGGCAAGTTAGTGTCACTGACGGGTGGAGCTGTCTCTGTCTGTCCAGGAATGAGAAATGATGGCCGGCTCTGCAGCAGAGGAGAAAACCTTCCGACGGTTCCTGGAGCTCTTTCTTCGGGAGATGAGAATGCCTCTGCAGGAGAGCGACCCGCTGCCGATGCGCCCCTTGACGGACCTGGTGTCTGAGGAGGAGGTGGAGGGGGAATGTCTGGACTTGTGCCTCCAGCACCTCTACAAATAGTTAAGTGTGCACTTTTTTCCTGTCGTGGCATGCTGTTGTTTCCGTGTGTTTGGTCGTGTGTGTGTGTGTGACCCCGGCTGGGTCTCCATCAGATGCTCAACTACCTGCTTCACATGGCGCTGGGTGTGTCCGGCACCAAGTTTAGACAAGTGTTTTGAACAGAAGAGGAATTAAATGTAAAGCAGAAGTTAAAGCCGCCTCGCCCTGTGCTTGTGTGCTGCCAATAAAACCTCCAGCGTTTGTGCGCATCGCCTGCTGCTTACACATTTTTGCGGCAGCGCTGTCAGAGCTGGAGGTCTGCAAAAAGGTGAACCCCTGGTTTTGCGTAACAGCACGACGTCATCGTGGTGTAGGAGGGGGAGGAAGCCATCGCCATCACTGCTGAGCGCATCTTCATGCGGGCTAAAAATAACCCCACCGGTTACGTTATTAGCCTCGATGTTAAAATCCAAGACACAGACTGAATGAATGATCACAGCCTCTAATGCAGCTTGATGAGGACAATAAATGCAGATCACAGTGACATTATTTTTTTTTTGCAGATTTCTCATCCAGACCTCATTGAAATCACTTAAAGGTTAAAAGGAAAGGAAACCCCAGCTGCATGTCAACAACCTGAATTATCTGCTCCTCTTTAACATGCATGCCTGTAATTTGACAGCCTCCCACTCAAGTGAAGTCTTAATAAATCCAGCGTTTGGACAAACTTGGCAGAAGCTGTAAAACTGAGAGAGAAGCTGCCCTGAGCTCTGCCGCTTGGCCTGGTTTTGAATCCAAAATAGGTGCAGAAACTGTGCTGGGAAGAGCAGGGTGGAAGGACTCATCTAGGGCACTGAGTGGCAGGGGGACTGCTGCTGCTGCTGCTGCCTGCATGTGATGACTTAGGCGACCAGCTTGCATGTACACGCTATATGTATTTATACATGTGTGAGGTCAGGTTGCTCTCCAGCAGTGATGGGGAGCATATGTTGGTGGCAGGATGCGTCGCACGCAGCCAGGAGTGCTGTCAGGTGTTCTCAGTGTGTTTGACCTGTTGGAGCAGCCGTGCACAGATCAATATTAGTTCACTACACATGGATGTAAGGTCAGTGAGCATCCAGCATCTCGCACAGCCTCCCCCTCGCTCCGCACACACCTGTTTACTGTGGAGGAGTGGAAAGGCTTTAATTAATCTGTACGTCTTGTATGGAAACACATTCATTAGCAACAACTGCAGCTCCTCATGAAGACAGCATCTGAGACTCATGGGAGCTATAGTTTTTAAATATTAAATGAGGCAGGACGTGGTTAGTTTAGCTTTGCTTAAAAAAAATGGGATTAACACCTCTAAAGGTTGCTACTTACAGTAGAGATGCAATGATTAATCGGTTAGCTGCCAACTATTAAATTAATCGCCAACTGTTTTGATACATCAATTTGAGAGATTTTTTAAAAAAGAAAGAAATTTCAAAAATTTCTAAATACAACTTCTTAAATTGAAAAATGTTCTAGTTTCTTTCCTCCTCTATGAGCTACAACGGTAAATCGATTAGTTATCAACTATTAAACACTAATTGTAGCTATTTTTGTACTAAAAATACTCTAATTTCAGCATCTTAAATTTGAATATTTTCTGGTTTCTTTGCTTCTCTATTGAAGTCTTTGTTTTGTGGACAAAACAGGACATTTGAAGACATCATCTTAGACCTTAGATAAGATCAAATAAGAAAAAACTAACAAATCCCGAAGGAAATTCTTACGCCAGATATTGACGAACTCAAATAAACTCAGTAAACAAAATATAGAACATGAGAATAAATGCAGAGCTTAGTAGATACTGAGGTGGTATACATGATAATGACATATTGCACACGAGGCAAACAGTGATGACATTTTAAAACTTTGTTTTGACATTAAAAAGACTGAACAACTTATCGATTAATCAAAAAAATAAATGACAAAGTAATCGCAGTGACAGTAATCACTAGTTGCAGCTCTACTATTTAGTATTTTTGTTTCTTTAATGCGTACGTTTTAGTCTGCAGCTTCAGCTTCTACTCTACTTCTTGATCAATACCAGTTAAAGGGCTGCTTCACGTTTTTGCAAAGGTGTTGTAAAAATAATTATTAGGTGTCCATTTAGACAATGGAACAGGTTCTGCAGTCGATGTACTTCCTGTTTGTTCTGGACATTATGTAACCGCTTTATAATGTTCTTTATAATGGACAAGACATTTGTCACTTTTGGTTTTGGGAAACACTGATCGACATTTTACAGACCAAAGAACTAGTTGAACAATTGAGAAAATAATTGACAAATTGAACAAAAAAAAAAAAAGTTTAATGGCAGCCCAACGTGTGACATTCATTCTGACTTACATTTGTTCAAAGCTTCCAGCTGGTTGAACACGAGTCGCCACCTTTAGTACCATGATAAATGATAAATGACATATACCACTGACTTTATGATTTTACATATAAGACAAAAGACCAGTTTAGAAAATTAATGTTTTAAAATGTCATAATTAGGAACTAATAAATTATTTAACATGTAAATAGTTTTTTAAAAAATCTCCACCTCAGCCAGTTATTACTGTAAAATGTAGCAAAGATGTTAATGCATCAGTAATATAATCCAGATAATCATTGAAACATGTCGCATAATTATTAGTCTTTATACATTTTGAAATTACTTAAGTACTTTGCTGAAACATATGCAGGTCTTGCAATCACACTTGACAAGGACAAGTTTCTAAAACAAGGCAGAAACACCACACTGTATGTACACATACTGTATATAGTAATACTTTAATGAAGCTCCTCAAAGCCAAAGTTAAACTGGTGTTTGGTTCCTGTCACTGTTGTTGCTGACCAGATTTGACTGAAAGCTGAAGTTGGTGCAGTAATTTAAATGGAGTCCATCCAGTCTGGATGTGAGAAACATCTATTAGCCAAACTCACCAAAATAACAGCAGCTCAATGCCTCAGCTCACTCTGTGAAATATCCTCCTGTCTGTTTTCTGGCAGTGGCAGTTTCTTAAACATTTGGCTCGTTAGAGTCGATGAATCACTCATTGGCCACTTTCCACGGAGCAGTTTATCATACGAGACGAATATAAAGAGCCATAAAGGTCAACGGGGACACTCTTTTTTGCTGTTTTATGTACACAAAGCAGAGCTTTTGAGCTGCAAATTTATAATATGACGCTAGAGGAAAGGTCAGCGGTTCACCATAATCATGAGAAATCATCTTGTGTGAAGCATGAATATCTGCGACTGTCCTCTGGAGAAAAACAAGAGCATCAGTCATTTCAGCCAATTGCCAAAAGGTATATTTTCAGAAATAATGACTTCTATCCGTTGGGGGCAGAAGAGGAAGTAGGTTATTATAGAGCCACAAAGTCTGCTTGTTGGATGTGTGAAGAGGTTGGGGTTGATGGTTGGGTCAAAAAAAACCATGAGACTAATTTAGAAGATCGTTGTTCATTTTACCTTGCAATACGTTGCTCAGCTTTGATTTTATTTTAAACATAAAACGTACTTCCAAACCTCAACCATCCATCCATCCATTAGCTTTGTATATCCACTACACGCTCTAGAGGGTTGCGGGGGCTGGAGTCTGTTCCAGCTGATGTTGAATGAGAGGCGGAGAACAGCCTGGACAGGTCAACAGTCCATCACGGGGCTAACACAAAGAGACAGACAAGCATGTAGCTCACATCTACGGCTGATTTAAATCACTAATTAACCAAACACGCATGACTTTGGACTGTGGGAGGAAACTGGAGATTCCACAGAAAACTCACACAGTAGAACATGCAAACCTCAACCAGGTGGTTATTATTGTAGCCATGACAATGAAGGTCCTTTAGTCTTAGTAAAGTAGTTATTTTAACCCAAACCACAATGTCTCACTAAGCACAAAGTGGCTATAATTAATATTCTTAAATAACAGTGTATTAAATGACAGAGCTGCATGTATTACTGAGCCTACGATGAATCATCACCTGAACCTGCAGCTCCCCTCAGCTTCACGGCGCTTTACTGTTTTTGTTCATTGTTTTGGGCTGCAACGGGCAGCTGTTTTCACAAAAAAGAGCTCTAAAATCCAGCAGTACACTACCTGCTAGCGCTGAATAATAGACAGAAAGAGTTTTAGCAACTAGCTGGTGAACAGAGTGAAGCTTTTAGCAGCAAAAAAGAGTCAGTTGTTTCCCTCAGGAGTTGGCTGAAACTGAAATTATACCTAGAAAATGGGTGAATGTTTGACTTGAATTTGCAAGGTTGTTAGACACATGACTGTAAATGAATAATAATGTGTATTTGTGACTGCTGGATGTAATAAGCAATTACAAGTCAGTGTTGTTCTTGCCTCCAAGTGTCCAAAAAAAATGATTTATTGCAGGTTTAACAAAGTAGTTCCTTTACCTCAAACCATGGTGTTTCCCTAAACAACAAGTGTTTTAATGAGTACAATGAGCCGCTACAGTATTTGTTTGGAGTCAGTCCTGCAGACTCCTTCCCTGCTACAGGAGCCACAGAGCACACAGATCACGTATCAACTCTCATTGAGTGCCGACACATGATCTAATGTATCACTTAAGCTCCCATTAACAGTGGCCGCAGTCACTCACGGCGGCGTTTGGACTTGCAATGAAATAGCACATATGACTAAGTCTCGTCTGCGTGTTTGACACTTCTTTACATCATATACAGCAGTTGTCATAGTAACAGCCCAGGCATCCTCGCGCAGAGTAATAATGGTCAGTCTGAATACAGCAGGCAGCACCAGCAGGCTGGCAGCGTTTCAGTCGAGCGTCTCTGAATGTGGAGTTTGATAACAGCGCCTCAGGCAATGACAGAACCAATCAGTACACCGGCTTCTATGAACCCTAACTGTGTTATTTAGCTGTTTATGCTCAGGAAAGTTGGGAAACTTACAGTATCTTTAATGTCTGGTCAGTTTCGGACAGTGTGGGCAAATCAGTTACCTCTTTAGAGCAGTAATGATGTCAGACAC